CACCTAGTGACAATTTGGATTATCCAATGAACCTATCCCCACAAGCTGCATGCCGGAGTACCCGGAAGGAACCCACGCAAACATGGGGAGAACATGCAAACTCTACACAGAAAGACCCCGGCCTGATGTTGGAATTGAACTCAGGACCTTCTTGCTGTGCAGCAACAGTGCTAACCACCGTGCCACCGTGCTGCCTTATCATTCAAACTGGAGAAGTTTATTTGAATGGTAACAAAGAGAGGAAAGGTAGTCAGAACTGAGGGGATTGCACTTGTTGATCTGTGGGACCAGCACCCGAATACAGGAAGTTTGAACATATGAGTATTACTTCAGTGCAGAGCTTGGATGGAGCTAGTAGGTGAGGAGACTCCCCCAGTTCTAATTGCCTCTAATTTCTAAATACCCCAGTACCCCAGCTAAACTGAGAGGACTGAGTAGCCTTGCAGGCCCAGTATGTACCGGTCACAGCTGTTGCAGCAGCGCCCCTCTTGTTCAGTGTTCTTGGAATATGACTGGGTTTAGTTTAGTGGCCTGGAGTGTAAGACTCAAGGTTTTGAGTTCAATTTCTCTAGCCACACCTGATGGCCAGGGCTTTTCCCATGGAGGCTAGCAGGCCTCAGACCAAAGAAGCTACATGGGTCCAACCACCACCATGGTGGGAGTATACTTGAATCCTCCACCCTCCAACAAGTTTTCTTTCCAGACATTGAGATTTTCTCCGATGAATGAGAAGTGGCTTCTATATGCCTTTTGGTTGGGGAAAAGGTCCTGACTATCATTTGTCTGTGTGCCAAATGACACTTCAGAGTGCTCAGCCTTCTTGGGGTCATTTGTTGGAGTGCTGGGAAGTGTGCCATCTGGGGATTCCATTGTTCTACTCCATAACTCCACATGGGCAATGATAGCATGACCTGGAGAGGTGTCATAGGGAGGAATAGGCTGTTATATCTGAATGGTGTTCTGTTACTGGACTTAAGTGTTAACTACAACATAACACCACGATTGAGGGTATTCATAAGTGTATGTGGCACCAGAACACTATGTAGAAGGTTGATGATCAGTTTTGTAATCGCATTATCAGATCTGCAGCCATAAGTCTTGGTCACTCATGTGTAGAGATGAGATGCGCCGCTAGTTGATCACTACCTGGTGATCAGTTGTGGCAGAAAATTCTGGACAGACCTGGTGAGGGTATGCTGCGGGCAGGGGCCATCTTCAATTCCCACTGTAGAAGACGCATGGCAGATCCTACCACATTGTCACACTTTCAAACACTTCTTTATTCTGTTGGCGTTTGTTTTACACTTGGCTGCAGCTTTTTAGCTGCCAGCCACACATACACAATAACAACACCCTGGTCACTCTTTTATGGAAAGAGGCATGATGATCTCATGCAGCTAAGGTGTGTTTTCCTCCACCGCAGTGTGCCACGAACCACACCCCATCACACCCACCTTCAGCAGAGGCTCAACTGCACTCTGAGGGAGGCTGGGAACAGTGAATCTGAGTGGATCATGTGCTGCACTGCAAGGGGCTGTGGCTTGTAGAGCCTGTGGGACTCCAGAGGCAACTGACAGGTTGCAGGCTAAGCAAAGTACAGTTGTGGGTCTTATGTGACTGATTCAAAAATGTAGGAGTGGAGTTCATTGAGACCATGGAAGAAGAACTTTTTCTTTTTTTAAATTTATATAAATTATTTGCTAAAACCAGAATACAATATTGTGGTCTAATGGATGTTTGGAAGAATTGTTTCCAGTGCCTTCACAAAACACTCTATTATGTCTAGAAAACAAATGGTAACACGACTCAAGTGCGGGACTCAGGCAAAACAACAAGGCAGAAGAAGTAGTTAAAGACTTAAAGATATTTACAAATAATTTAAACTGGGGTGAGTGGCTAATTCGACTTAAACAAACACCGAAACACATGAGTGATCTTTTACGTGGGCAAGAGTCTTGACTAAACACAAATATCAGATTAACTTGAGTGAGACACTGTGTCAAGAGATGTATTCTAAAACACTTCTTCAGCTGAGAATCAGAGAGGAGAAACACACAGTTTTACTTGCAGCAAGGACAGCCACAGAGCACTCACACGAGAGTGAGGGCTCAGGGACTCGCGCTCTGCCACTGCCCTGGTCTTTATTTATAGACATCAGTGGGTGTTGGTTCCTTACATTGGAATGTGGATGGAGAGCTGCACTGGTCCTTTTGAACAGTTGTTGATTGCACTGCTGACTCACACATTAAGGTCAATGAAGGTCAAATGAAGGGTTTTCATGTACTCAGCATAAAGTGTGTCTGATCCTTCCACTGTCTAGGTGGTGATTATCTGTTATGTTCTACAAAGGTTGCTGGCTCTCCGTTATTCCTGTCAGTAACACATTAAACTAGCCGTTATTACTTTTTTTTTTGTAGATTTTTATAATTTTTTTCCTGTAACGTGTAAAATAAAAATTGTAATCTCAAAAGACTGAATTCATAAAAGAGTAATGTGATAAAATTTAGAAGACAAAGACATATACATGTGTTCTTTTTCTTACAAGGTATCTTGACACTTTTTTAAAAACACTACCCTGCAACCCTACCCTTTTTTATTACATCTTTTTATATTATGATGGTTTTCCCTTGGACTTGCCTCCATAGCTCCATACAATTTTAGACATTGTGTCTCCTCAATCAGCGTAGTATTGGTGGTTTTACATGAATCTTATTTGGTAAAGTTCAGGACTTCATATTGTCGTTGTCAATTATCAGTAACTTGTGTATTTTGGCTGGGCTAGCGTGGTAGTTAACACTGTTGCCTCACAGCAAGATTGGCCTGAATTCATCTCCACCATCTACTGTATTTTTGTGTGGAGTTTGCATGTTCTCTCTGTGTTTGCACTGGTCTACTCTGGCTTCCTCCCAGAATCCAAACACATGCAGTGAATGAGGTTAGGTTAGTTGGTTATTCTTAACTGCCTGTGAATGTGAGTGTCAATGGTTGTCTGTATGTGTTAGACCTGCGACGGACTGGCGACCCACCCCGACCTCCCAATAAGGATAAGCGCAAGAGAATGGATGGGCGAATTATTTAATTTGGAAGGACACTTTCCTAATTAGCCAGAATAAATGACTCTGAATTAAAGACTACTCCTATTATATTATAAGCCCTTTCTGAGAAGTGACGAGCAGTATTATATTACTGTAAAGTTGTCTGGTTTTAATTCACAGGTTCTGGAGGGACGGAACTGATTATTGAGTCTAGCAGCCTGTTGGTCCTCAATGACCTGCTGGCCAAAGTGTCCTATACCAGCACCATCTACCACATAAACACTGGAGACCTTGGTATGTGTCAGAAATGTGAAGAGCTATAAACACCCATTTTTAAATGACAATTGAATTTGCAAAATAATGTGCATTTTACACATGATCATTAATGCGCGAGTCCTGTATGTTTAAAATAACTGTGAAAGAAAAAGTGAGTCCCCCTTGTTCTGAACCTAAACTTTTTTTGTTTGTTTAGTCACCTTCCAGTTTGAAAACTATGAAGCCGTGTTTCCCATTACCATCCAGCAGCCTCATGTACCAGTCCTGTATGACATGGGAACAGGTAGAAGTGAATTTTTGATCAGGGCTTAATAGTCAAGCCCATATTCATTTAAATATTGTTGGAAAATGCTTCTTTATTATATTAATTGCATGCTGTTAAGAGCGTTAACAGCATCCAAAGAACATTATGTTGACGCAAAATCATTATTTCCTTCAGTTACTGTCATTTTCTCATTATCTTACCTTTCTCAGAAAACAAATCTTAAGCCTCTTCTTCTTCACTCCTAGATGTTTCCACCTTAGGAAGTATCTTAAACACTATGCTTTGTTAAAAACTAGTAACTGATTAGTTAATAAATATGACCAAGAAGACCTCACAATAGTATAATATAGTTTGAGCAATCTTCTGGATATGGGTATCCTATACCAAGCCTATATCATAACTCCATTCTTAAAGTGAGGTGTTTGCAGACATCATAGCATGGTGTGGTAGAACTATTTAGACCAGCTGACTGGGGCTTTGTCAAGATTTTCAATCAGTCCCTATCATATCCCACCAACTCACCCTGCCTGAAATCCATCATAGTCCATCTGCATAAAAAAAAAAACTTGCCTCAATGTCTACCAGCCATTAACACTGACTAAACTCAACTGGTTATGAAGTGGTTCAAGAAATTGGTCCAGAGTAATATTATGTCATTAATTTCCTTCACGTTTGATGCACACACATTTTCTTACAGGGCAAATAAGTATACTGAGGACTGTAGCACTTGCATTTTCACTGTCACTGCATTGTCATATCTGAAGAAGCAGATAAGCATGGATGCATGGCTGCTCTTCATCAACTGTAGCTCTGCTTCTAACAACACCACCCTCTGTCACTATTATTTAAACTGCATGCTGTTGGATAAAACACTTTTTGATAGATAGATAGATAAAACTTTATTGATCCCTCGGTAGGTTCCTCTGGGAAATTTGTTTTCCAAAAAGCACAGCACCGACAGAAGTTACAGAGTTAAGAATATTATATATATATATATATATA